CAGAGGAGCTGCTGGAGTCTCAGGCCCCGTAACTTCTCAATTTCAAAGACCAGCATGGAATTCAGAAGTTCTGAGCTCCCTTCAGAGCTCAAGGCATTCCTATCATTAGTGACCAATTCCATGCTGGGGACAAGGCCCCAGTGGGGAACATAAGGATGTCAGTCATAGGCATTGTCAGTTCCCAGGCTATCCACATTTGAAACAGAGTTTATTTCAAGGCAGGGGCTCTTATCTGGGTAGTTTCTAGATCCTCTCCTGGCCTTCAGAATTACCATGAGTAACTCTTGAGTGCCTTTTACGTGAGAGTTAAATCAAAGGTTAAGGAGAATTACCAATTTATTATAACATTTTTCTGAGTTATCTGACTATTTCTCCAGATGTGTTCTGATCTGTGAAGGATCCTACACTGAGAAGTGAACCTAAGTTTTAATAGATCCTACAAGGAGTGCTGAGTACTTCCTGGAGGGCAGAATCCAGTTTGCAGGCTTTATAAAGCATCTACCTCATCAACTATACAAAAGCTCTAGCTGGAGAGTGTAATTTCAATTTAAATTCTTGTTTTTTATGACTAAACATCCTGATTATCTAACCAAGGGGGAAGTACAATAGGATGAAGTCTAACTGAAAGGAAAACAGAAGGAATGCAAGAAGGCAGGGAGGGAGAAGGCAGCCAGGAGCTCTGACCTTAACTCATCCCTCATGGCTTGTGACTCTCACCTTAGGAAGTTTCTGGAAAGAGGTTAATAGCTTTCCCCTCTGTCCCCATACGAAGGCACATTTTTTTTTTACTAACTGCACCTGTTTATTTTTTTCTCCTCTACCTTGGGAAATCTGATATTTCCTGGAAGAGCTATTAAATTTGTAAACTTAGATGTATTAATAGAATTACATGTACCATTTTGATCAGAATTTTCAATTTTAAGCAGTTCTAACATTTAGCATTACCAGTAGCTAATGAACATGCACAATCAAATAACAATAACATCAGAACTTGTTTAACAAATTTCTTAATGCATATTCGAATGATCTTAATAGATCAACCCAAGTTCTTTCATTCTTATAAAATCTAGAAGACTAACAATAAGAGTAATCAAAGCATGTTAACTTAATAATGAGAACTATAAGAAGACTCAAAATAAACCAGGTGGCAATACTCTCCATGTGTCCATTCTTAACACTGGATTTGCATCTTTTCATACTAACATTACCTCTTTACTTCAGGTGTATTGCATTGCTTATTAAGTAAATTGTCACAGCTAATTTAAATTAATTCAAATTACAGGTCTTAACAATTTATTTTGATCTTAGACAGTAGGCCAGGAAGTACTATGCAGCTAAACAATTTTTGTATTGGTTAATTAGTATGAAATTCTGTCAAACATGTTCTTGCTTTTGGTTTGGCTTAGCAGTTCAGAAAAACAATCAGTTTCACCATGGAAGGTGGAGAAATTTCCTGAGTTAAATGATTAGATTATTAGAAACCTTTTAAGAGTACATCCTCTTTCCACGCTCCCTGTAATTTCCTTAGGGACATAACATGTTAGGATTATAAGAACCAATTTCCCTGGGTTACTTTGATGCCATCTTCTTCAGAAAACCCCTTCTTGAAGTTTTTAATCATGCAATCAAGGATGGTAGGTTTTGACTTGCCAATGCCCATTTTGTCACCTGTCAGAATTTTTATCCTAACCAGAATGAGAGGATCTAATTTGAGCAATTTCCTTCCCCAAGACAGAAGGGACAAGCCTCAGGCCCAAATATAAGGCAACTGAATAGGGCTGAATTTTATTGTGGCAAAAACAAATCAGAAATGTTCTTTAAGGGGGACTAGCAGTTGGCGTAATGACTATGTAACTGGACTCTCATGTAGTCGACTGCGGTTCCAGTCCCAGATTCGGTGGCTTAAACTCATGCCAGGCACGTGTGTGCATGGCCAGGATCCCGAGAGGAGAACGGAGGAGGAGGGATTGTGGCGTGGCCATCCCCCCAGGGGGTGATTTCTCGCTTTCTATCTCTCTGTCTCTCTCTGTCTTTCTGGCGAGTACACGGACCCTATAACGAAAACCTCTCAAAAAAAAAAAAAATTACACCCTGGTTCCTAAAGAATATTATTTACATTGATAAACTTAAGCCAGGATGACTAAAAATAAATGTAAAGCATCCACTAATTATAAATTTAAAGTGTAGAAATACATATCACACTATAAACCCCTAGAAACTTCTAAACATTCCAATTCATAATGGAGAAAACAAAAATCATTTCTCTTTTAAGATAATTTAACTCACAAAAGGAAACGTCTCTGGAGACGGTGTCATTGGAAAATTCTATCATTAGTGGGGAAATCTATGCTTTCTATGCTTTCTCTTCTGAAAGTAGAGGAGGACACAAGAAATTTCTAATTCAATTTATAAGGTCAATATTACACAGGCAACAAAAACTGATAAACACACTCCAAAAAAGAATATTAAAGACCAATAAGTTTTTTTTTTTTTTTTGAGATTTTCACTGTAGGGCGTGTGCGCTCACCAGACAGACAGAGAGAGACATAGAGACAGAAAGCGAGAAATCACCCCCCAGGGGGGATGGTCACGCCGCAATCCCTTCTCCTCCATTCTCCTCTCGGGATCTTGGGCACGCACGCACACGCGCCCGGCGTGAGTTTTAAGCCACCGGGTCTGGGACACAAACTGCGGTCGACTATGTGGGAATCCAGCGACATAGCCATTACACTAACTGCTGGTTCCCAAGACCAATAAGTTTTATGATCACAGATGCATTAATCCTCAGTAAAGTATTAGCAAAATGAGTTCAACACAAATAAAAACAGCAAAACATCATGACCAAATAAGATTTATTTGGGAATGTAAGTCTACTTGATTCATCGTTTAAAAAGCAATGAATCGAGAGAAAAAAGAAGAAAAAATGAATTTCTTGATATATTACCCACTCATAGGATAAAATAAAAATAAACAGCAATATGAAAAGAATAAATTTGTTAAAAATGATAAAAAACATCTACAATAAGATATGCAGTCAACATTCATACTTAACCTTGAAATTGTCAATCTATTCTTTCTAATATTTGAAAAAAAAATAAAAAAGAGCAAGGTTGTTTGTTCTTATCACACCTATTTTACACGATAATGGAGATGCCAGCCTAAGTGGTAAGGCAAAGAAAATAAATAAGAGTACAAATTTGAAACAAACTTGTTCAAATACTTTTTTTCATTTGTTTGTTTTTCAGGCTTTTGCCACACAATGTGTCTGCTTGTTGGAAAGAGAGAGAGAGTGAGAGGGGAAGTGAGAAATCACCTGCAAGGGTATCACCACAGCCCAATCCCTTCTCTTCCGTTCTCCTGCTGGGATTTTGGGCACATGTACACACTCACCTGGCATGATTTTCAAGCTGTCAGGTCCAGGACACAAACAGAGTTGGCTGCATGAGAGTGCAGCACCCTAAACACCACGCCACCTGCTGGCCCACAGTTGCTTTTATTTGCAAATAAAATAGATTGTTTATGGAAAAAAATACATGCAGAAGTTATGAGAACTAATAATATGGTAATTTCACAGCATGTGAGATCAATATAAAGAATTCGACTATATTTCTGTATATAAAGCGATAAGCAATGGAAATCTAAATTGAAATACATTTTATAATGCTAAAATAAAAGTGAATGAATAAATGAACATAACAAAACATGTGTGATATTTTCTTGTTACAAAACACCAATTAAATAAGTCAGAAGAAACATAATTTGATTCTAAAATGACACTGAAGAGCAAAGAAACTTGAATTAAAAAAATTGGGAAAAAAGGGGGGAAAAAAGAACAAGATTGGAAAACTTACAGTATGTCCTTTTTTTTCTTCTTAAATGTGTCTAACACATTTAAAATAAGGCAAACTGAGAGCTTATTATTTAATAGATAGCAATGATTAGCAAAGATAAAATAGTCACAGAAATAGAAGTATAATCCACATATTTTAAAGAGATGGGGCTAACTAATGCTTTGTTAACATTATATTTTATTGTCAGTATCAGAGTCTGAGATAATTTATTCTGTACACAAATTGTCACTATGTGTTTTTAATAATATCGGACTTATGATGGTCATCATTACTGTTCTTTCTTATGAATGACTTTAAATTGTTTCATAGCCACATCGTGTGCATTTGGAAGCCTATTTATACATTCACTTTTCCGACAGTATTTTTTTATTTTTTAAAATGTATTTATTTGAGAGAGAGAAAGAGGAAGAGAGAGAGGCACTCTTTTCTGTGCTGACAGGGTCTTGAGGCAATCTTTCCCCCAGTCGGCTGGCCAGTGAGGACCATAGATGTTCATGGGCAGCCTCACATGCTCAGGTAGATCAGAGATCCTCATCCTTCCATGGGGCTCCATCATCATGCAGTTCCAGCCCACTGCCTAAACCACAGTGGCTTGGCCTAAAGTTGTATATTCCATTATAGAAGTAAATAGTAATTATTTTTCCAGTGTTTATATTTTAATTTCTCTTTGAATATGCTTGATTGTCAACTATAAAAGAGCATCTGTAAAGTTATTTGAATATTTTTTTCAACTATCTCATTGATTTTATGTATCGAGTGTCTCCACTAATTTTTTTTTTTTTTTTGGTGGATGTTTTTGCTATTGGGCACATGTGCTCACCAGAAAGACAGAAACAGAGAGACAGAATGTAAGAAATCACCCCCCAGGGAGGATGGCCATGCTGCAATCCCTTCTCCTCTATTCCCCTCTAAGGATCCTGAGCACGCACTCACATGCACCTGCCGTGAGTTTAAGCCACTGGGTCCGGGACTCGAACTGTGGTTATCTACATGGGAGTCCAGCAACACAGCCATTACACCAACTGCTTGTCCTGTGGATCCATAATTTTGATAGTACAATAAATAGAACCAAATTTTTTAAGTAATAAAATTAATTTTGATTAATTCAAATATATTTCCTCAGATTTTGTTGTTAATAATGACTTCAAATTAACATGAGGAGTGCTTTAGTTCTATGGCTCTTTTTGCAGCATCTTTTACCTCCTTGTTTCTCAGACTATAAATCAATGGGTTTAGCATAGGGATCACTAGGGTATAGAACACAGAAACCACCTTTTCCTGTTCTACAGAATACTGGGAGCTTGGCTGGATGTAACTAAAGCTTAAGGTACCATAGAAGATGGTCACAGCAGTCAGGTGAGAGGCACAGGTGGAGAAAGCTTTCTGTCTGCCTGAGGCGGAGCGGATTCTCAGAATAGCCAAAACGATGAACATGTAGGAAATGATCACAATCAAGAAGGTGGCCATGGCAATGATTCCTGAGAAGATTAACAGCAGCAATTCGTTCATGGAGGTATCAGAACATGACAGTTTTAGTAATGAGGGAATATCACAAAAGAAGTGGCTGACGACATTCAGCCTACAGAAGGAAAGTCTCCCCAGACTTATTGTGTGTATTAATGAGTTAATTAGTCCACATATCCATGATAAAGTGACCAGCCCTACACACTTTCTCTTAGACATTGCTACGGTGTAAAGCAAAGGATTCACAATGGCCACATAACGATCATAGGCCATCACTGACAACAAAAAACCTTCTGTGGTAACAAACACCCCAAAACACAAATGTTGTATCATGCAAGCAAAGAAAGAAATGGTCCCCTTGGCAGCCAAGAGGTTTACCAGCATCTTGGGTGCAATTGCAGACGAATAGCAGGCATCTACAAATGAAAGGGAGCTGAGGAAAAAGTACATGGGTGTGTGGAGCTTTGGGGTGATGTGGATTAAGACGATCATGCCCAGGTTCCCCACCAGGGTAATGGCATAAATCCCCAGGAACAACACAAAAAGCACAATTTTCAGTTCAGCACGATCTGTCAATCCCAAAAGAATAAACTCAGTAAGAACTGTGAAATTCTCTTCAGCCATTTGTTTGTTTCTTGTTACAAAATATGCTGTGAAAAAAAAATAACGGAATTGTAATTTAGTAGAGGAAATCTTACACACACATCCCATACGAAGATAGCAAGTATAAAATACATAAATAATACACACATATAGACCATAATAAAATATAGACAACTGCTGATGTTTGACACTGAGTAAATTTCTTTAACTCTGAGTTTTTTCATTAATAAATTTTCTGAGTAGACAAGATGGTCTGTAATTTTGTTTCAATGGTGTTGTTTTTTATAATTACAATCATAAAAAATAATGTATATGATGCTGGCAGGTGGCATGGTGTTAAGGGTGCTGGACTCCCACAGGGCAGAACATGGCTCGAATCCTGGAACTGGGGGCTTGCTTTCTCACTTCTTCTTTCTCTCTCTCTCTCTCTCTCTCAGTCTGTCCCTCTCTGGTCAAATTAAAATAAATAAAAATAAATAAATATATAAAGTTAAATAAAATAATTATTTAGGAAGAAAAAACTAATGTATGGAAAATTTTCTCTCACAGATTTAGTCTTCTCTGAAATGTCTCCCTCAATAACAACATAAGATAAGCACTACGAAAAGGCTAATGATAATTTAAATTAATTTCACCCAATGCATATTATTGTTGAATACTCAATAAGTGAATCTTTTTCCTGGTATTTTTGGTTTGTTTTTGAGTGTGCAATTATTGAGTAAGAAAAGTACTTAAAATTGTGTATTTTTAATTAAACAGAGAATGAATACCCAGTGACATTATTATAGACAGCAACCTGGCCACAATCATAAAGTAAGATGGCTGTGGTATTTGCAGTGATGACATTGAAAAATGACAAATATTCTGATCCCTATGCTCCTAAGAGGTATCTCATAGCAACACCTAACTTAGAAACTAATAAAGCAAATTAAAGCCTTTCTCTTGGATGGTACTTACTAAAGGTAGTCAGGATTTTTACTCCTGAGTAGTCTTACCCATGGCCATGGTAGAACAGTACCCTGAAAAGATCAACACCACTATGACTGATGGCAAAGAATCCCACATCTTGCATATGTGAACCATATTCTGAAGCCTTGAGGAATTTTGGACAATTAAAAAAATGCAACAATTTAGAATATTAATGTATAATCTCATCAAATTCTTCATAATACTTCCTTATGTTCGTCATCCTTTGAGGTATTTTAGAAAATTTAGACTCTCTGAGAATACAATTTTAAGCAAATGGTTAGATCATTTAAAGCTGTTCATTTCAGAATCAACTGTCTCTCTCCCTTTTTCTTTATTAATATGGAATACAGTTTTGGAAAGGATGACATTTAAATAACATTTATTAAAATATGTATAATTTATGCCATGTATTTGTTTAATGAAAACATTTTAATACCACTTCAGGAGGAAAGTGGGAATACATAAGAGCCCATTCAAATCTTATTGCTAATAATAAATGGCTTTGTTTTACTGGATATAAGTATTTAATCCCTTTAAGCTAGGATATAATTATAATTATATCTCTAATATTACTGAGTATATTGAAAAAGACAATTACGATAAAGTAGTTTTCTCTGAGTACGTTTTAAACACTTGACCGATTATTTCTATAGTATGAGAGCTTTATGAGTTATAATGAGCGAAAGAGAACAGTGATAAATACTTAGTTTATTAAATATTTTGATTCATGGTTATCAGTATAAAATTTCGAAAACATTCTGACTAAACAGTTATTTTAAGGTATTTCTGCAATGCTTATGCAGAATACTTTTATTTATTCATTTACACACTTACTTAGTTTAATGATCAAATCTACACCTTTAATTACTACCCACAAAATACCATTGCTAAAGATGAGATAAATAAAATATTTATTTTTTTCATGATTTCCCACATCTTCTTTAGAGATTATCAACAGATTTGACAATATATTAACAAATCAGAGTAATTAAAAATTGTATTTTTGTAGACTATTCTTCTACTTGCTCTTTTATTCTGTAACTTTAGAGTAAAATGAATAATTTTGCCAATTAAAAATTGTCATTTAGGTATGAATTATGTAACTATATTTTATAAAATGGTATTTTTAAAAAAATTTAAAATTTAATAATTATTTTTATTTAACTTTACTTATCGATTTATTTTATTTTGACCAGAGAGGGATAGTGAGAAAGTGAGAAAGCAAACCACCAAGTCCAGGACTCGAGCTATGGTCAGCCATATGGAAGTCCAGCAAGTTCCTTTAACTACCACACCACTTGCCAGCCCAAGAAATTAAAATTATCCAAATATAAATTACATAAAAGATATTGAGTTTAACTTACATGAAATTTAAAATTCAAAACATTGATAGAATTCTATCATATTTATACTTTTCCATTATTTGCAGAATGACTATTAAATATGTGAAACTAAACACATAAGAAACCATTTGAAGGAATTAGTTTAACCTACCAAAGATGAAATCAAGTTTAAGATACCAGATTTTTTAGAATGCACAAGTCAATTTTTATGGTTTTATACTCTACTCAGAAATGCAATCAGTGAATATTATGCGATTCAGAATAATCAGCTTTATAATGGCAGATAACTGAAGATCATTCCAGGTATAAATAATTTTCATAAAATTTAGGCTTAGACTTAAAACAAGTATAACGGAAACAAAGAGCCATAAATTCTTTCCTCTAAGAGGATAAATTTGAAAATGGGGAGATTTTATATATATATATAGTTTGCCTTTTCTAATGAGCCTATGGTCCCTGTAGTTAAGATTCTAATTAAACTGATAGAACAACAAATTACCCATCAGATTGCTTGCTTTCAGGTTTCTCAAAGGACCTCCCCAATGTATCCCAGTAGAACTGGTTTTCTCTAAAGTTGTATAATCTGAAAGTGGAAGAAACCCTAGACCTGTGATTAAAAAGATAGTAGAGACATTGATTGTAAATAATCTGCATAAATTAGATAGTATCTCATTAAGATATAATATGTACTAATCCTACCTGGATTGATTTAACCTGATAATAGCTACCCTTTCTAAAGACATCATAGTAATCAACATCCCCCTCCCCCACTTCATGCACTTCTGCTGAAAAACTGAATTTGTAGGACCCTCAGATGGTGTATTATTACATTGCTGAACTCCCATGTAGTCAATCATAATTCAAATCCCAGACCTGGAGGCTTAAAATTCATGCCAGGTGGAAGGGACCAGCAGTTAGTGTAATGGCTCTGTTCTTGGACTCCCATGTAGTTGACTGCAGTTTGCATCCCGGACCCAGTGGCTTAAAACTCACTCTGGGCGTGTGTGTGTGTGTGTGTGTGTGTGTGTCTGTGTGTGTGTGCGCCCAAGATCCCGAGAGGAGAATGGAGGAGAAGGGATTGCAGTGTGACAATCCCCCCTGAGGGATGATTTCTCGCTTTCTGTCTCTCTGTCTCTCTCTTTCTGTCTGGCGCATGCACGCGTCCTATAGCAAAAACCTCTCCCCAAAAAAAAAAAAAAAAAATCATGCCAGGTGCATGTGTGTGTGTGTGTGCTCAACATCCTGAGAGGAGAATGTAGGAGTAGAGATTGCAGCATGATCATCCCCCGGGGGTAATTTCTTACTTTCTATCTGTCTCTGTCTCTCAGCAAGCATTACGTGCCCTAGAACATAAATCTCTCTTAAAAAAATGAATCTGCATTCTCTCTAGTAAATAAAGTATCACTCCTATCAACTGTTATATTTTGCTTCTGTTTTTATTTTTTCATCGATTTAGTAAATATTATTTGGGGGATAAAGACAAACTAGACATTGTGTAAGGCACTAGAAAAATAAGTATTATTAAACACACACACACACACAAACAGACAAGTGAATAATAAAACAAATAAGGGATAGTATCCAAACAAACCAGGGCCTCCTAGTGCCCACATAAAACAAGAACACTTTCTGAAAAAATATGGTAATTCATATCAAATTACAGGTGACAAGTTTCACAGTAGTGTTCAATACATAGTAATGAATACCCAGGTATATGAGAAAATAGGATGTAACTGAAAATCAAAAAGTGAAAACACAATGAATAGGGACTGGTAGGTGGCATAGTGGTTAATGTGTTGGACTCCTATATGGCCAACTGCATTTCGAGTCCCAGACAGAGCGGATAGAAACTAATGCAAGGAATGTGTGCACGTGTGTCCAAATCCCAGGAGGAGAATAGAGAAGGGATTGTCATGTGGTCATCCTCCATGAGGGGTGATTTCTCACTTTCCTTTTCATTTTCTTTCTCTGTATCTCTCTCTGGCAAACAAACATACCCTATGATAAAAGCCTTTAAAACACACACACACAAACACACACTGGATGAACTAGAAATCATACTGAAGAGTTTTCATGTGTATGGATTTTATAATAAATGTGGATAATATTTCAGAAATGTAAAGACAAGATGGAGAATTTTGTCAGGGAATTGGAAGCAACAAACTTACCTTTAAATGAGACGTCCACACTTAAACATGGGTAAACATAAGTGGCCATGGTGCAATGGTCCAACTAATAAATTACAAAGAGCTCTGTGATTTTTAAAATCCTATTTTAAAGCATCAATGATCTGTTAAAAGCCATTTTCTTACATGAGCTAAATTCCAAATGGACATACCTTTTTTGACTATTATAGGAAATCACCGATTGTTTTTTCCATGGGATTTTTCACCTATTCTAGTATAGAACATTGAATCAACCTGACCAAGTAGTGAGTCTCTAATTAGGAAGGAAAAAAACCTGCAAAGCTTTGGTGATTAATGATATGACCAATTTGAAATGCAAAAAGACTCAAATGTATTGGAGGTTTTTCACACAAAACATTTTTGGTACCATAAATAGGGTTAAAATACTAGGCCAAATCTGTACAAGAAAGAGTACAATCTGTTTTGGTGACACCATCAGCTTAGAAAGGGAAACTTGGGCCAGAGGTGGCAAAGTGGTTATGATGCTGGACTCTCACATGACTGACCGTGCTTTGAGTCCTGG